TTGATATACGCTTTGCACTTTCAAAGTTAGGTAGTTGTGTGGCAAATGATGATAGCTTCATCAAGGAGGTAACCACTCGCATTTTAAGGCGCTTTTTTTTATCCAAATGGGCAGTCAACACACAACAACCATGACCGGCGCATGGAAGTGCATGGTCGGTGGTTGTAGAAACTGAAACTGGTTGGATGGAGCGAAGATGTGAGTAACTTTGAGGTAAGTGATCGCGTATTTGGTAATGATTCATCACCACATGGAATTCGGGTCAGTAGGCTTCACTGGTTAGGACACGTATTGCGCATATCCAACTGTCATCTGCCTCATCGTGCGGATCGGGTTGGAGGAAACCACAACAGAGGATGTGGAAACAGCATGAAGAAATACACAGAGCCATTAGGAAAAGTAGGTATCTTCCGCCTTCGAGGATGAGGTCCAAAAGACTGCAACTTGTTGGTTGGAGACGTTGAAGGATATGGCAACTAGCCGACAGTAGTGATGTTCTTGTCATTTCTTATCAGACCAGAATGCTCGAAACGGTATGTATGTCACCGGCGTACTTTGGACCCTATGGTCAGAGGTTCGAACCCCGCCACCGCCACCCGACTCTGCTGTCATCCGGTTTAATACCACGCCTAACCTATCGGGGCCTTATGTGTGGTTCGCCACTCCAAGTTCCGGGGCTTAGGTTGCCGATTTCAACCACTGAACAGCAGGTCCTCGTGACTATGGGGTTTGCCCCGTCTGCTGCTCATCACACCTAGGTGTGTAATAAAAAAAAATGGATGCATAGTTAGCTTGTATATTCTGTGTGTTGACCATAGAGGTCCAATTTCTTCCTCCCTCCTTCCAATTGGGTCCAATCCCTCACCATCTTGTGCTTTACCACTTGATTTGTGTACATTGAGAGCTTGGCATCGATTAGCGAAGTCCACTTCTCTGTTTCTCGCTGTACGATGATGATGATGATAATCTAAATCGTTTTCACGTTCCTGTCTCCTCATGTTGCGGCACATTTCCCATTTTTATGTAATTGGTTGAGATCTTTGATAAACGTTCCTCTATGTGTGCCTTTACCGCAACACGCTTCCTCCGTACTTGTTTGCGTACCTTTGTCTACCTAC